CCCCCATCCAGCAATCCCTCTTTCCGCTACCATGCCACCTAACGTGCTCACGGCTTCAGTAAATCACCCGAGCTGCCAGCAGCTCTAGCAAAATCACTGCCATCTCGCGGACGGGGAAATTTGTCCTTTTTGCCAGCGCTCACTGAGACGTGACAGCACCAATAGCCAGCAGCGCTGGGGGCCCCATTACGATGTTTTGTTTGGAGGTCCTCACACCAAGCCCGTCAATAACCCCCAGCTTATTTCCAATGCAACTGCTTCGGAGCTGCAATGAGACGCAGGAATTTTTACTGTTTTCGGCAGGGCTTATTTAGGCATAAAAATGGCTGCGAAAAGGGCACAATGTAATCAGCAATCTTTTTGTTGCTGTTGGGAAAAATTGTTTCAAGCTGAAATTTGCACAGAATTGGGAGCCCTCCACGCTTGTAATTGCTTGCTTTAACATGCTGCTTGACAGCTTGCACCATTACTGCGTTTTTAAGGCTTCAGCCCCCGGCATCTCATCATTGCCCAAGAATCACAGGTTTTAGGAAGGAGAAATGCAGGTTTCTAGTCCTTGTGACCATAGAGAAAAGTCTCAGGAGAAACGGCACTGACCCCCACGGCCAGTCCAAAGGAGGTGGAGAAGGGCCCACTTGGGACTGCTTTCCCCATGTCAGGCATATACAAGTGCTCTGCAATTCTCTTTTCCCCCAGCGCATGGAGACACATGTGCAAGTAGGGCTAGATAAAGGCATGCTCATACTTAAAAGACACTTTTGAACCATCTGCATTTTCCTCCTGATAACTAAAAAACCCACTGTTTACATCAGTGGATTTTAATTTAAATGAGCAACGCTTTCTTTCCCCTTTGAAAGGCCGGCTCTTGCATTTATTTCTTTCCATTGCCTGGTAACGCTTCAACCAAACAATTCAACCTGGGGCATTGGTATAAAACACTTAAATTTTGGGTAGCAGAAAGCAGACAATAACAGCACCTTCGCAGATATACAGCACAGGGAGGCAACAGAAACTCTTGGTCAAGAGTGATATGAGGAAGGCCACCCATAAGTTAACTTCACATATGCCTATATCTGCCTGTGCTGATCTAGCACATTATGGGCTGGAGAAAGAAAAAGAGCAGCAGAGAGGCACCTTTCCAAAAAGCTACATAGAAGCTATAAAAGTTACTATAGGAAAACTCTGCATTTAATGCTCTGGTGTGTCTCAGGGCTCAGCATCTCCCTGCAGGGCCCACACAGCAGAGCTCCAGCCTTCAAGCTTTGGGATTGACTTTCACAGCCCCCACTCTCCAGAAAGTTGCATATTCCAGGACTTTCCAACAGTGCAAAGAAGAAGAACCCAGCAGTTTTCCTCTTTGCTCCATCAAAAGCCTCCCAGAAGAGACACTTAATCATACAGCAAGGACCACTGCTGAACACCTCTCAAAGTCAACCACAGTGCCCAGGAAAAGGCAGGCAACAGCACCCCAAAAAAACCCCCTCACAGCAAGGAAAGCATAGAGAAAAAGAGTCAAAACACAACACCCTTGCTAGAATTCACCCTTGCCAAAAGACCTAGCTCTTAAATCACATTTGCATCTGATGAACCTACCAGGAAAGGTGGATGCATTGCTGAAGTCCACATGGAGCAACAAGACAGGATCACAGCTCCTCCCAGTGCAAGCCCCACAACCAGGGCAAAGCAAAGCAGCTCAAAATGTGCTTCATGCAACACTTCCTCCCCTCCCCGACAGGACACACTGCTAATTTTTTTGCAGGGAGGGCAAAACCCCTCCCTTTGAAACACCAGCAGCACCTTGGCAAAGCCCTCTTTATTTCCACAGACCTCCCCTCCCACCCATTGGGCAGTCTGGGAGCTGATGGGCTGCAGGTGGCACCTAGCAGCTGGGGCAAACGAGCTCCTGCCTCTCCCAGCCAAGTCCTGCAGCCTCTAGCTGCAAAAATAGAGCGGGAGGAGCTGCAAAAATAGGGGGGAAGCTGCAAAAACGAGACCAGCACCCTATTTCTGCAGCAGCTCCTACAAAAGCCCTTCCAGCTCGTGCCACCTAAACAGGATCCTGCTGAGCTTGGGTGCCCCGTTCCCTCTCCTCTCCCAGCTGGAAAACCCAAAAAAGCCCTTTGGCAGCCATAGGGCTGGGGGGGGGAACGCCTCCATCCCTACACCCCTGCTCGTGCCCTGAGGCCACTGGGATGGGCACCCTGCCGGTGAAGGCTGGGAAATTTAGTATGTCTCGTGCAGCAAACTCCCGCTCCCTTTGCCATCTGGATCCGGAGACCGGCGCATTCATTATTCAGCAGCAATTGTCCCTTTTTCTGCTTAAAAGTTTCCGCTGTCGGGTTAAGGAAAGAGAAGCGATGCGGTGTGACTTATCTAGCCCCTGAGCGAGACCAGGGTTTCCGAGGCGTCCGTCACATCGCTAAAGGGGACGTGATGCACCATGAACAATTAGGAGTAGAACAGGCAGCAGAAAGGGAAGCGTCGCTCGGGCAAGAGACCTGACTGCGCTCGTGACAGCAGTGGCTCAGCCCATCAGACCCAGCGTGGGAATATCCCCGATGGGGCTGACTCAGAGCAAGCCGCTAAGCAGAAAAGCCCTCAAAGCAGCTAAATTTGGGGTCGGGGGATGACTCCCACGGCGGGAGCAGCTTGGGCCTGAAGCTCCGGGACAAGGGAGTTATTTCGAAGCGATTACGGAGGATAACGGTAATTACGGCCAAGAACGGGGAAGGTCAAACCACCCCGACGCTGCAGCCGGGCTGTGCCGTGAGCGCATCTCCAGTGCAGAGCGTGAGCTGCACGGGAGGAAAACCCACCCTATTTCCCCCAAAATAAGGCAGGCTCCAATCAGGGTAAGGGGGGGATTAATCAGATAAATTTGCACGGCAGGAAACTCCAGCCTTCGCAGCCGGGCAGGACACTGGGAGGACCGAAGGACAGGACTGCAGATGGGGAATTAAAGGGTGGATATTAAATCCGGGAGCCCCGAACACCCTCTCTGCCAGCGCCGCGATTTCAGACTTTCCCATCAGCGATTTTTATGGCAGAGCCCACTCAACTCCCCGTTAAGAAGAATAATTTAATTAACTGGGTGAAATGTAATTAATTTTAATTGTTCCCGATAATTCATTGTTTAAGATGGTATTAATAATTATAAAAAATCCTAATGCCTGGTAACGGCCCTATAATGTGCTAATTAAAGGCGCGCGGAGGAAGCGCTTGATGTAAAAACGGTCGGGAATTGTTCCTGGTCTCCGGAACCCGGGAAAGCCGGAGCACGGGGAGGCGGCCAGATCTCGCCTCCGTCCGGAGCCGGATATTTCCTTTCTGGGGGGGCGGTTTTTGCCCTCCTGAAGGCGGAGCAGAAAAACGGCATTACCCGAAGCCTCGCTGAATTTCGCGGGGTGGGAAAAAAAACAATCCCCCGTTTCCGTGCGTGCTGGGTGTCCCCTGCCGTTCTCCCA